TAAGCTGTAAACATCTGAGCTTGTGTTTCTCTGGGAGCATCTTTGTGTGATGACTGCAGCCAAGGCAGCCTCGAGGCCAGAGGCTGCAGAGGTTCTAGCCCCAACTCTGCCACCAAGTGGGATCCTAAGTAAATGTGTTAGTCCTGGGCCTCATGTCTTCATCTTGAAGATAGGAATAATTATTCAGGGCCAAGAACAGTGTGTTGTTCATCATCAGAGCTAGTAGATCCTTTCAAATGAGTTGAAGACCTAGGATAAGGAAATTCCCTTCTCTGCCAGTGATTAAGGGAAGGGAAGGTGAAATTCAGGATTTTGTTGTTGCTTTAGACAGAGTCTTGCTATGTAGCCCAGGCTGACATGGAACTTACTAGGTAGATCAGGCTGGCTTCTAACTTGTGGTGATCCTTTTGCCTTCAAAAGTGCTGGGGCTATAGGTTTACACTGCTACTCCTGACAATTCAAGGGACTTGTAAGCAGTGTTTGCCCAGTGGAGCTGGCCAAGGTTAGGGGCAACTTAGAAAAGATGCTGGGAAGTCTGTTCAGTCTGGATGGATGGTCTGAGTTTCAAGAGATTTGTCAATTGGTTCAAAATGGGCCCTTTGGTTTAGCGACAGGGTTTTTGATGTTGTTTTCTCGGTGCTATGAAATCAGTCAGGAAAGGGAAGAAGGATGGTGTATGAGGCCACTGTTTTAGAGAGAGGATGCCTGAGAAGGGCCTCATCAAGGAAGTGGTGTGTGAGCAGGCACTCAGGTGAGTAAGGGAGCAATAATCAAGCAAACCAGCAAAGCCAGCAAAGTGGAAATTCTTAGATGAGCTACTGGCAGGCTCAGGGACGGTGGAAGTGCACGGACTGAGAGAGCAGAGAGGATTAGATGCGGGGTGGGCGGGCAGGCGGGGTGGGAGTAGGTGATGTGTGGAGCTCCAAGGGGACCGGATGGTGGGGGCATGGTCAGGACGGGGGAGCTGGTCTGATACACACCATCCCTGAGCCACCAGGCCGGAGGAAAGGAGATCTTATGGCACATTGGAATTCTAGCTTAAAACATGTTTGGTTCCAGGGGCCACCAGATATCCAAGAAGAATCTTTGAGCTGGTAGGACATATGAGCTGGGCTCTCAGGAAAGCCTGCCATGGTTTCACACCCGCTAGGTACAGAGGTGAATATAGTAAGGGCTAGGGGTAGGACTGAAAGGGATACTTTTTTCTTGTTTGTATTGTTCAGAAAACTGTATTTAAAAATATGTCACTGGTGCTGGACACAGTAGCTCATGCCTACGAACCTTACTAGTCCAGAGGTAGGAGGATTAGCAATGGTACCTGGGTACTAAGGTCAACCATCTGAGCCAACTGTGAGTCTGTCATCTGATATTCCCCACCCCCAGTTCTGTAGAAAGTTCAGTTGGCTCGACCTTTAGTGTGTATCAGACCAGCTCCTTCGTTTGAGCCTAAACAGTGCAGGGAAGCCCTATATCAAAGATATATATACATACACAAATATTAATTATTTTAATATTAATGTTAATACATAGTAATAACTGATGATACTGGGAACCAGTGGGATGGCTCAGTGGGTATAAGCACTTGCTGATAAGCCTGGCGCGCGCGCACACACACACACACGCACACACAATATATATATGAATACTTGCCATCAAGCTGACAAGCTGAGTTTGATTCCCAGGAACCAAACAAAAGAAGGAAAGAAACAATTCATACAAGTTGTCCTCTGATCAGACACCTGCTATGGCATACACGCACACGCACACACTTATGCTTAGGCATTTGAGACTCACCTTGTTAATATAGCAAAGACTCCTCCTCTCAAAAAGATTGGGGGGTGGGGCTGGAAAGATGACTCAGAGGTTAAGAGCTCTGGTGTTTAAGAAGACCCACATTCTGTTCCAACATCCATGTGGTGACTAATGACTATCTGTACCTTCAGTTCCAGAGGAACCAACATCTTCTTCTGCCCTCCTCTGCTACTGTATGTACATGGTGTGCAGACATACTTGCAGGCAAAATACCTATACACATATTGCTCCAGTAGAGACCCCAAATTCAGTTTCCATCACCCACATTACACAACTCACAACCACCTATAAGTCATGTTTCAGGAGACCTAGCACCCCCTTCTGGCTGCCACAGGCATCTTCACCCATCTGCACATCCTCCATCACCCCACACATAATAAGATTACAAATAAATCTTTTAAAATGTTAGAAACTTGTCTCAGTCACTGTTCTACGGCTGTGAAGAAGTACCATGACCAAGGCTACTCTTATAAAAGAAAGCACTTAACTGGGGGCTTCCTTACAGTTTCAAAGGTTAGTCCATTTTTCTCATGGAGAGGGGCATGGCAGCATGCAAGCAGCACGCAGGCATGGTGCTGGAGAACTACCTGAGCACTAAGTCCTGATCCCCAGACAGGAGGCAGAGGGGGAGAGGGAGAGGGAGAGGGAGAAGGAGAAAAACAGACTAACTAGTTTTAGGTGTGTCCTGGACTTTTGAAACTCAAAGGCCACCTCCAATGACACACCTCCTCCAACAAGGCCACCTTAATCCTTCCAAAACAGTTTTACCAACTGAGAACCAAGAACTCAAATATAGGAGCCGGGGGGGGGGGGGCAATTGCATTTAAACCACCACAAGACATAGGGTCTAAATATGGAGCTGAATAACTCAGCCCTTGCCTAGAAAGCCCTGGGTTTGATCTCTAGCACTGGCAAACAAATAAATAAATGAAGGTACATTAGTTTGTTATTCTCTAAGTAATCCATATTCATTCTAAAAAAAAATCTTAAGAAGCACAGATAAGCAAACAAACAAAAGCCAAATCCCTTCCTTCTTGCCTGCCATTATCAGTGCAGGCACAAGAGGCATCTCTTCTTAAACAGCAGGAGCACATGAGCCTTGAGGTTTTATAATCAGCTCCTTTCACTTGAGTCTCTTGTGGATAGTTGATACCTGTGTAACTATTGAAGTGGCAAGAAAACAATAAAAAATAAAATAAAGGGAAAGAATTCCAGAAGTGCTCATCAGAAAGCTACGTATACCCACAGCTGCCTGAGGTCTTGGGCAGCTGAGAAAGGCAATACCAACACTGTGTGGGCTGCGGCTCCCATTCCAGGCAGCCTGGCTGCTGTAGGCCCTGTGGTTAGTGACCGACTCTGAGGGCTGGGGCACATACTTCCCTCTGAGCTTGTCTTGTATCTCTGCTGACTCAGCTTTGGCCTGGATCGGGCTGCAGAAGCCTCCTTCATTCATCTGAAACCCTTTACCGGCAGCTGCTTCTTGCCTCCTTGATCCAGGGGTATTTCCTGTGATGTAGCCTCAGATGCTGACCTCCAAGGAGATGTAAGTGGGCCAGGGCACAGCCAAACCCTACTTTCAACTGTCAAACACCCCTTACAGAGAAGGAGGCTGGCCAGAAGAGATCAATGGTTTTCCTAGGTGTACACACACATGCACACACACACACACACACACACACACACCATGAGATGTGCACACATGCATGAACAGAAATAAAGATAAGTAGAAAGAGACTTGGAATGGGCATGGGGTTGCACACTTGTGACACACTAGAACTTGTGAGACAGACTGGAGGCTAGAGTTCAAGGCCAGCCTGGGCTACACAGTAAGACCCTGCCTCAAAAAATTAACAGAAGAAAGAGCAACCCCTGGGGCACATACAAGAAAGTGGTCTCTTAAAGGGATCTTGAAGAAGGAGCCGTGAGTAGGACGCAGAGGTTCTGGGGAGCATGTAGAGTTTGTACAGGGCTGAGGGGTGTGTGAGGCCCAGGTGGATCTCAGCAATAGAGATCACACACACATACACACAGAGGATACATTTCCAGGGAAGAAGCTCGTCCCTTCTGGTGTTTTCTGGGGCAGGTGGGTGCTTTAGTGTTCCAAAGAGTCCACACTGCCCTCGCTGTATCTGCAGCTCTCCCATGTGTATACACGCCTCAAGGCATCTGCTTATGGCCTCTCCCCACTACCTCTGTGCTAGGGAGTTGGGACGCCTGGCTCCAAACTCAGGTCAGCCCTGGAAATACATAGCAACCTTAAGTGAACTCTATTTCTTGCTGGGGGCCATAGTTTCTTCATGTGTAGCTGACAAGGAGAGTGTTGGATGAGCTAGGTTCTAGTTCTTTCCAAAAGGGCTACTTGGTAGCTTCCCACTGCCCACAGGGTGGTTTCAGAACTTAGTTTCCAACTCCTCACTGCCTGTTCTCATTTTTCTTTTCCTTCACCTCTGTGTTGCTACTTCCCTGCCTACCCTGTCCCCCTTCTTTTTATTTACGGGGTGGTGGTGGTGGTGGTGGTAGTGGTTGGTGTGGTATGTGTGTGTGTACTCGCACATGTGCTCATGCATGTGTCATGGGTGTGAATGTCCGTACTTGTGGAGACAACAGGAGGACATTTGGGCCGTATGATATCGCTATCTGCCTTATTGCTCTGAGACAGGGTGCTCTAGAAGTCCCAAAGCTCACTGACTAGCTGGCCCATGAGCTTCTGAGAGTTGCCTGTCTCTGATCCCAATACCAGGGTTATAGACTCATGTGGTCATGCCCAGCCTTTTTACATGCGTATTTGGGATTCAGATGCAGGACCTTAAGCTTGTACAGTGAGTGATCTACTGCTAAGCTGTCTCCCCAGCCCCTTTCTTCTGTAGCTGACTCATTATGAATTCCATAGAAACATGGAGGCAGAGCAGCTGTCTGAGTTGAGGCCACAGCTTCTGAGCTCTGCTGGAACACTTCCTTCGGACCTTAAAATGGAGCCCAGGGCCAAGTCGAGTGGGTGGCTGAGCCAGGGGAAACACTGAGCCTCTATGTTCTCTTTCCAGCTCAGAAAAAAACTGGGAGGCCTCCTCCCTGAGCTTCAGTCACACCAAGGTCCTCTGGAGAGGGCTTGGGTGGTGTCTGAGCTCAGCATCCCACAGTCATCCCCTTCCCCTTGCCATCTAACCTTCCTGGTCACCCTCTAATTGCAGATTTTTGCTAGTCTTCAGCTGCCTGGTGCTGTCTGTGCTGTCCACCATCCAGGAGCACCAGGAACTTGCCAACGAGTGTCTCCTTATCTTGGTGAGTGCTGGGAGCCCCCCTTAGATTCTCCTTCACGGGAGAGCAGCACAGGAGTAGGCTCCAATCTGCACCCGAACAGAAACAAACCTCACCAACAGAAGGCCTTCCACCGAAGGAGAGCTGTTCTCGTTGTCACTGAACCAGGGCTAAGAGTCTAGAATGGCAGGAAGGCTGAGGGCGGGGAGAAGAAAAAATCCAGCGTCTTATGAAGCTAGACACTTGTGTAAGAGGGCAAACGGGCTTCTGTTCTTCCTAGAGGACAAAAGGGAGGGTAACCTCCCCACTGGAACCCTCTCCAAGCTTTCCAGGAATAAGAGGGACCTAACCAGGTGTTGGTGTACCTGGCTCAGGAGAGGGCTCTGATCTGGGTCCTGGTTCCCCACAGGAATTTGTGATGATCGTGGTCTTTGGCTTGGAGTATATAATCCGCGTCTGGTCGGCCGGATGCTGTTGTCGTTACAGAGGATGGCAGGGCCGCTTCCGCTTCGCCAGGAAACCCTTCTGTGTCATCGGTATAAAGCCTTTCTTACTGTGCCCCATTCCAAACCTCAAGAAAGCGTTTTGATACCAGCCTTGACCCCGACCCTGGTTTCTCATGAATTTTAGTGGACCTTCCCTATCTGCACCCCACCCACTTAATGTCCCAGGAGTCCCAGACCCCAGGTCTTGACAAGGGGTCGACTGGTGACTTCAACACCCTGCCCTGCAGACTTCATCGTGTTCGTGGCCTCCGTGGCTGTGATTGCGGCAGGCACACAGGGCAACATCTTTGCTACATCCGCGTTGCGCAGTATGCGCTTCCTGCAGATCCTGCGCATGGTGCGTATGGACCGCCGCGGCGGCACCTGGAAGCTGTTGGGGTCGGTGGTCTATGCGCACAGTAAGGTGAGGCTGGAGAAAAGTGAGGAGAACCAAGCTCCTGGACCCTAGGCACAAGCAAGAGGCGGAGCTGGGGCGGGCCAAATTGGGGCGGGCACCTAGGGCTGTAGCCAGACCGGGCTGGCCTCGTCAGGCACTGATGGGGGCAGTTAGTGAGGGATGGGGCATACAGTTGGGCAAGTACAGTTGGGGTGTAACAGAAGCGTGGCTTGTCTGAGATATGGGGCTGGAGCTTAGCAGGGATGAGACTTAATAGAAACTAGAGGAGGGGCCTACGTTAGGGGTCGAGGCGTCTGGAGCCATCAGGGGCGGGGCTCAGCCAAGGCCAGAGAGGTAGGGCTTAAGGGTCACATCGGGAAGCCCCTAGGTTAGGAGAGAACTGTTCCCAATGGAATGAGGGAACTGGATAGGTGCTAAGGGTGAGGCTGGGAAGGGATCAGACGGAGCTCCTGGGTTGAAACCTGAAAGGCGGAGCTAGAATGGCAGAGCACAGTAGGCCTAGAGAAGGAGGCCTGAGCCGCCACGATGAAGGACAGGCCTGGGAGTCTGCCTTTCGGGGTTTCAGAGAAGGCCGGGCAAGGGCTTCTTCCTTGAAGAAGGGGGCGACTGGAGAAACAGCCTTATCCCCGGACTGGTAGGTGCCCCTCCTCTTTCCCCCAGGAGCTGATCACCGCCTGGTACATCGGGTTCCTGGTGCTCATCTTCGCCTCTTTCCTCGTCTACCTGGCTGAGAAGGATGCCAACTCTGACTTCTCCTCCTATGCCGACTCGCTCTGGTGGGGGACGGTGCGTGAGGGTCTGTGCAGGGCTGCCCTTCCCCCTAGAAACATCCCCAGACACTTCCCAGGTTCTGTCCTCTTATGATGCCCGACTCAGGGTTGGCCCATCCTTGTCTCTTCACACTAAGGCTCCTGTGACCAGTCCCTATGCTTGTCCTTCCCACTCTGTGGGACCTGCCTGTGCCCTCATATCCAGCCCTACACTCAGCCCTTGTGACCTGTACTGCTTTTTCCTGATTAGTGTGAGAAAGAAATCCATCTGAGAAGTCCTTGAGACCAATCCCTATGGTTGTAGAGGAAGCCCTTCCCTTGTTATTAGTTTTCCACCTGAATTTGCTGTACCTCCAAGTCCTTGTGTCAGGTCCCTGTGCCCAGTCCTATGAGTAACCTGTTTGTATCTCCAGATTACACTGACGACCATTGGCTATGGTGACAAGACGCCACATACATGGCTGGGCAGGGTTCTGGCTGCTGGCTTCGCCTTACTGGGCATCTCCTTCTTTGCCCTGCCTGCCGTGAGTTCCCTGCTGGTTGTTGAGGGAGGCTGGAACCAAGACCTGAGCAGCCTAGTCCTAAATTTACCCTGGGCAGCCTGGGGTGTCCCAGATGGACAGGTACGGGAACATCCTAGTAGCCTCTTGTCCTCTTTGCCACACTACCTGCAGCCATGTTTTATCCCCATAGGGCATCCTGGGCTCTGGCTTTGCTCTGAAGGTCCAGGAGCAGCACAGGCAGAAGCACTTTGAGAAGCGGAGGATGCCAGCAGCTAATCTCATCCAGGTACACGATGCTTAGGCAAGCCTGTGCTGTGTCAGCCCTGTGTGCTGATCTGTGGGTTCCAAACTTCCAAACTAAAACTCTCCTTCAACATTAAGAGAGGGTGGAGACTTCTGGGGGACTGCATGCCACATTATAGACAGAGCTGGGATGTTGGCAGCAATATCAGTAATGCCCCCCCAACCCTGCAGCAAATACCTGCTTTTGAACTCCCTAGACCACTGTTGCCAGCTCTGGCCATAACTTGGGATGGGGAGAGAGCCTGGGGCAAAAGGCGTCCATCTCGTGATGGAGACTTAACTCTGCCATCCTGAAACCGTCAGCCTGCTCCACTCCCAGCACCTCGATACAGTCACTGCGTCCTAAGGAACTCATGCAAGAAGATGATCCCGGGCTAGACTTTTAGAATTGCCAGCATTTAATAGGCAGCTGAAAAGGGCCAGCCAACGAAATAGAGGGAGAGTGGCCAGAGATGGGAGCAGGTGTAGGAAGCCAGGAGCGTGTGATCTCTGTTTCCCTCAGTGTGATGGAGGATCTGGGTGGACTCTGATCTGTGCGTCTCTCACCATTGCCTTGGCTCCCCTCCAATGTAGGGGCGTGCAAGAGAACTCCCTGTAGGAAATAGTCGAGGGGTACTGACACAGCATACCTCTGCCTGCTCCCCAGCACACCACCCTCTGACCCCCCAGACCCAAGCCTGACTCGGCTCCTCCTTATCTCTCCTTCCCAGGGTGTAACCCTTTCTCCATCCCTGCTATCTCCAACCACCAGTCTGGCCTTTCCTTCTTAACATCCCTTGGGGCACAATGGCCGCTGTCCTCTGGGAACTGGCCTCCCGAGGGGCATTGTAGGGGCAGGCAGCTGGCACTGTCCATGCCGAGAGACAGCTGGCATTGTGGTGCCCATAATTAATGAGAGCTCTGGCAGCTGCTGCCCTGACCATGCCAGGGACCCAGGCAAGCAGGAAGTAAAAATATTTCTGTCTTAGGAAGGCGCCAGGCTGGTGAGGTCACTTGTGGCAACCCCTTAAGGACAAGAGGCACCCAAAGGAGGGGGGCATCCAGGGCTGGTGTGATTCTGCTTTGTCCTGTCTGTTTCTGTATCTCCCTGTCCTGGTGGATCAATCCGTTCCCGAGCCTTCCCAAATTCCTCTCTTCATCTGGAGGATGAGGGACAGTTTTGCTTCTCATTTGACTGTAGTTCCTTCTGCTGCAGTGTCCGCAGCTGCTGAAGAGTTGGTGGTCAATAATCTTGGCCTCTCTCTCTCTCTCTCTCTCTCTCTCTCTCTCTCTCTCTCTCTCTCTCTCGGGCCCTAGTAGTCCCATGGTAGCAGTAGGCAGCTGATGAAACTACAGCGGACTTGCTGTTTGTAAAGTCATTCACTTAGTCAACATTCCCTCCCCAAACATTTGCAGAACCACCCACGCGTGCCAGATACTGTACTTGGCACTGAGGATGCAGCAGTGCCCGTGATGCAACTTATGAAGAAAGACACTAACCAGACACTGTGAATGTGTATTTAGCTAAGGGAGCTAACAGAAGGGCTTAAAGGAACCTGGACATGAGTGTGCCAGGCACTATGCTTAGCATTGGGCAGATATCTATTCGTTTTGACCACACAACACTCTGTTAGGTCAACAATGGTCAGTTTGTTCTGCATGGGAGAATGGATTAGAAACCCATGCCTATCTGACCGCAGACCCCAGCTCTTACCCAGTGCTTGTAGGTCCCTGGCTCTGGTGCCAATTTAATGGGTCACCTTGAGGAAGTCGTTTCTCACTAAGTCTTGATTTCTTGGCTGGCCCTGCTGGTAGCTGTGGGATTAGCCTTGGCCTCTGGTCCTGGCATCACTCTCAGCTGGCCTGGGACTGGGTTCCTTCAGGGGCAGAGGGCTGGTGGGTGGCTAAGGACTTCTATGACACTCCGTTCTCCCTCTGCCTCTAGGCTGCATGGCGCCTGTACTCCACTGACACAAGCCGGGCCTACTTGACAGCCACCTGGTATTACTATGACAGTATTCTCCCGTCTTTCAGGTAGGTGCTGCTGGAGTAGAAAAGGGTAGGGGCTGGCACTAATGCCCCTTGAGAAGATGCCTTCAGGGTTGAAAAAGGAGATAGCTCCCAGCAGAGCATTTGGGACTAGTTCTTCAGGTCCTGCATAACTTGGAGCCTGGCTGGTCCTCTCTCCAACTCTTCAGTGTCCACTGGTCCCAGAGTATGGATGCATCTTTGCCTGTGAAACTGAGCCCCACTCATGGAGTGCTGGCAATCTTCATGCTCACCCATAGATGCTGCCACCCAGGGAAGCTACACTAGCTCATCTCCCCTCAGTCCTGAGTCGGGGACATATTAGCTTGTACCGACCAGTGCAGCTGGTTAGAGAGGGTGCTATGCAGAAATATGTATACTTGCCCCAGAGCCGCTGATCGTGACTGTGTGGCCCCTCTTACTGTTGTGGCCAGCAGTCTCTGAGGCCAGCAGTGGGTCTGCTCTGCTGGTCCCAGGCTGGGCTGAGACTGAATGGGGGCGGCTCTGCGCTGGAAGTTATTAATAGCATCATCAAGGTGTGTGGAGCCAGGTGCCTGGCCAGGCCCTGGGGCAGGAGTGAAGACTGCAGAGCCGGCTTGGTTGGCTCAGTCCCATGGGCAGGATGGCATGGAGTGCGTGCTAGTCCAGGCTGCTGTGCTCAGCGCTTCTCTCCACAGTCACTGCCTCATTAGTTACCTTTGAGCAGCTGTTGCGTGATCCCACTTGCCCGCACCCGCACCTGGCCCCCTCTTGCTCCCCCCTGTCCCCCAGGCTTCCCAGGGGAGGAGCAGGAGGTAGGTCTGGAAAGGGGGGCTCCCTACATCACTCCTCCCTCTCCCCATCTCCACAACTGGCAGAGGCAAGCTCCAACCTCAGAGGTAGGACCGGAGGCTGGATTTGAAGCAGCCCCTTTACAGAGGAAATTATAAGGAATCAAGACCAAGCCAGAAAGGGAGCAGGGACTGGATGCTTAGAAATTGGCAAAGAAGTATGAGTGTGTGTGTGTGGGGGGGGAACCTCTAGATGGGGTGGCCTGGGTTTTCTAGTAAGAGGAACAGAGCTTGGGCTGGTGATTTGGGCTCCATTGGAAAAGCAGGTGAGGGGTGGGTGCCTTCCCGATTATGGCAGTAGTAAATGACCCGGAGAGTTAGTAGATAGCCAACCTGACACCATCTCCAGGGACTCCATGGTAGGAGGAACGCTACAGGGAAGGGAAGCTGGGCCGGCCACCCTATCAAATCTGTCTTTAGCTCCAGTCTCCTAAAACCCAAGTCAGCTTGGGAGACTGAGGATCTCGGAGCTGCTAATGGCTGCTCGGTAGGCATGGCTCCATGGTGGGGAGCAGAGTCAGCTAGATTGGAGCTCCCTCTTTGTGTGGGTGCTCTGGACTTATGCCTAACCTAGACTCCTTCCGATTTCCCAGAAACTTCTGCAGAGGGGGAGAAAGCTAGTCTCTCCACCCTGCCTGTTCTGGCCCGTGGTGTTTGTGAGCACCCTTAGAAGGTAGCTCAAGACTTGGCAGGACTCAGCTCAGTAGCTCTGGGCCCACTGGGTGAGGTGGGAGGTGTCCCCAAGGCCCTGACTGTAGCTGATGGCGCCCTCTCCTGCAGAGAGCTGGCCCTCTTGTTTGAGCACATACAACGGGCCCGCAATGGGGGCCTACGGCCCCTGGAGGTGAGGCGGGCGCCAGTACCTGATGGAGCGCCCTCTCGCTACCCGCCCGTTGCCACCTGCCACCGGCCAGGCAGTGCCTCCTTCTGCCCTGGGGAAAGGTAGGGGCCCCGTGAGGCCACCACCACCTCTTGCTTCTCTTCCTCTTCCGTTTTCTGTTTCACCCTCTCTCAGACCTCTTCCAGCCACCACATGGGTGTATGGACCTGTTTGGGGGATTCTCTGGCATTGTTGTGAGGCCTGGTAGTTGTCGTCAGATGGCCAGACAGGTACAGACGGAGGGCCCTCTCTAGAGAGGCCACAGTGGAATTACCTTTCCATTCTCTGGGTCTCCCAGGGTCTGAGAGGGACAGCTGTCCACATCACTCCTTCCTGTCACCTCCATCGTTCATACCATTGTCCTCTTTCTTTCTCTGTTTCCACGTCCCCACCCACCCCCATTCTTCTATCCCTGCACCCCCATCCCTCCCGGGAAGCTGGAGAGAGGAGGAGGCCGCTGGCCCCAGGTGCTTACGGCTCAGGTAATCGAGGGCGCGGTTCTGTTCTGGGGTGCGAGGGCAGGGATCCCCTCCCCCAGCATGCTCACTGACCATGCTGAACACACCTCCCAGGAAGCAGGTGCCTGCTGGAAAGAGAACTCTGTGACTAAGACCGCTGTGACTAGGACCTTCGTAAACGCCACCAATGACTAACACACTTATCTCTGCAGCTCTTGTCCGCAGCTTTGCTAGAGCAGGGCGGGGTGGGGGGTTGTGTCGGGGCTCTCTTCTTCTGTACTGAGGTACTCTTTGCTGTTCCCAACCCTCTCTCCGAACTTGACCTGGAGCTTTTGCCTGTTGAAAGAAGAATCAAGTCAGAACAGTGCTTGCTTCACCTACATGCTCCTAACTGGAGGAATCCCAGACACATTAGGATAAGGGACACCCCTCCTCATGTCTTAGGAAGAAGAGGGACTTCAGTGATGTTGCTTCAACCCTTTTGAAATCAAGGGTCAGTTCAGTCCCCTCATGCTCTCTCCTCTTCTTTGCCATCGCTTTTGCTTTGCCTCTTCCCACACATCAGCCTTGAACTAGTCAGGTGGACATCCTCTGTTCTTTGAGTCTGGGGTATCAGTAAGCCCAGGTCCAGCATTAGCATCCAGGGAAGGAAGAGGCACACATCGAAGCTCACCTCTGCCGTGTGTCCTGGAGAAAGTCATCAAGCAACTCTGCCAATGGCAAAGCATTAACCATGTCTAGGCTATTTGGGAGTCTAGGCTCTCTGTTTTTGGGGCTGAAGAGGCTTGGGGAATGGATTGGTGGGGATAACTGGGAGCAGGGTCTTTTCTGCGTTCGCAATAAGGGCTCTTACTGGCCAAGGGCTAGACAGGTCTGGAACTTCAGGGAGAGGAAAGATTGGCCAAGCTAGACTGGGAGCTCCCTTGAAGAGAAGCCCCTCTGTAAAACCTGACTTGGGTTCTCCATCACTGCCTGTAGGGACCATGCTTGCCAAACCACAGCTTATAATCAGAAACTCACAAGGTCTGGCAACCCTGAGCTGGGCCAAATATGGGCTTTGAGCTTCCAGTTCACTCTTGTATCTCTTCAGCTGAATCAGAAGATACTAGGGGTGGAAGGAAGCTTGGAGCCTGTGCCCTTAATGATTCTGGGTCCCTGAGTCCTCAGAGGCCTGGGAACACATGGATGTTGAAACCCCAGCGTTATTAACACTGTATCTGTCTACTCTGTGTGTCTGATGGTGGATGACTCAGGAACCTGAGTGGACTGGGTGGGTGTTGAACTGTGACTTTTGGATTTGTCACCAGGCTCAAGCTCAGTGGCCATGCCCTTAATCTTGGCTATCTTGACCCTAGGAGATGGGGTGTAACTCCTGCTAGAATACCCCCAAACACGTGTATACATAGACATGTGTATACACACATGTATACACACTTATGTCCCACACCCCATCCTGGTTTGGCCACACGGAGCTTGGAGATGGTCTACACTGTGCATGTTTTCAGGAAGTGGGACTTCCTGGGAATGGCATTCCCTGCACCAGGTCCTCCCTTTGAGGGTTTTGGGATGAGTCCCTAAAAGCCTGGTCTCCTGACTGCCTGTATCCACATTCCATGGAGCATGTACTCAAAATGCAAAGGATGGGACGGCCCCACCGCACAGACTCAGTCTCTGGAGAAGGGACCTTGAGTTCTGCAGGCTCGCCATACTCCGAAGGGGTCGTATGCAGAGCCCGAGCATCTCTGCATCCTGGGATTGGGACTGGACGATGACTTAAGTGGGCATCCTTCTCTCCCTCCAGCCACAGGAGGCCAGTCCAATCCTGGCAGCCCTCCACACTCTATCCGCCTGTCTCCTCGTCACTAACCTCTGTTCGTGTCTTGTTCTCAACTTTCCAGCCAGATGTTTAGTAATAAACGGAGTTTCTTTCGGATCCACGCCAGCTGGAGACCGAGGTACCCCCTCGTCTGCCCCTCCTGTCCTCTCTCTTCCTTTCTCCTCCCACTTTAGGGGCTGGAGAGGAGGACAGGATGGGTCAAGGACAAGGTGCATGTGCCTGCCGCCTGCAATCTGCCTTGGGTTCCTAAGGAGCCCCCTTGCCTTCCTGGGGATGCCTCTGCCAGGTTTAGGGATGGGCCCAGTGTGTCAGAAGGGACACTCTCAGGAGCTCTGAGGGTGTGCCAGCTATGCTGCTGACCCCTGTGTTATCTTGGCCAAATTCCTTCCCTCCTTTGGACTTTTTCCTTTCTGTGGAATGGGCAGGATGAACTCAAGGTTCTCTGAGGGTCCTTTCCACTCTGACCTGTGCCAATCTTGGAAACAGTTTCCTGACCCACAGGTGTCTGAAGGGGCTGTGCCCGGCACCTCTGTCACCAGTTTCAGAGCCCCGGCTCATTCAGCTGCATCACAACTACATTTGTGGTACCTGCCCCACGCCAGGCCCAGCTCTGTGCACTGGGGAAATGGTAATGAATAAAACATGGTCCCCAGAGAGTTGCAAAGAGTAATTGTGGTTCAGTGCATTGAGTACAACATGAGCGAAGCAGAGGGGCTGTGCAGCTGAGGTAGGCATTTAGCCCAGAAGCAGCCCTGCAAGAGGTGGCTGTCGGGGGAGGGTACTCAGGCCAGAGAGCCCCATAGATCAGGCTTGGAGGGAAAGGAGAAAGCATAGGTGCAGGAGATGAGCCTGGAGCCCAGTATGTCCTAATCTGAGAGTGACTTGCTGGAGCCAGGGCTAGGGCAAGACTGGGTCACAAAGAACCCCAGCCCGATATGAGCCTCATTCAATTAACATATAGGTGGCCTGGGTTCATGGAGCGCCTGGCTCCCCAAGATGCCAGTGGAGCCTTGTGGTTGGGAATGAGGGCCAGGGCCCCAAATTGTCTGTATGCCTCTGTTGAGAGGCAGCCCGTTTTAAAATTATAGTTCCAGGCCACCCTCTAGATCCAATTTGCTAGCCATGTGTCCTTGGATACAGCCAGCACCTAGCTTTCTATGCCTCAGTTCCCTTTCATGTAAAATATAGGTGCTAATGGGACTTGCTTCTGCTAAAACTGACTGGCTCCTGTAAACATTAACCTCATTCAGTTTACTATGTCCATTAAGACGACCTTTGGGGTGTGGCTCAGTTGATAGAGTGCTTGCCTAGAATGCATGCGTTTGCTTCCTAGCGCTGCATAAACTGGATATGGTGGTGCATGCTTATAGTCGTAGCACACAGGAGGGAGAGGCAGGAGGATCAGAAGTTCAAGGTTATCCTCGGTTACATATCAAGTTTCAGGTCAGCCTGTGCTACATGAGACCCCATCTATAAACAAACAAACAAACAAACAAATAAAATAAAAACCATACTTTTGAAAAATAGTTTGGAAGCTGAGGAGGATGCAGCTTTGTGGTAGATCTTGCAAATGCTATCCCCAGTCCTGAAAAAAAGAAAAAACAAACAAACAAACAAACAAAAAAACAAAAAACCAGAAGCTCAGGAACATGTCTGCAGGAAATAGGGGCTGCCTGAGGGTGGCACTAAGGAGACTGGTTTAGACTTGCTCCTGTGCAAGTGTAGGTTGGAGGGCAGGAAGGATCAAAGGCCAATGGAAAGGCTCTTTCCCCGAAGTCTCTGAAGAGGGGCCGGGTAGAATAGCACAGGGGTGGGTGTCTGCCTTTCCCAGCCTGGGCTGTGGTGGGCAGAGTTGCCTGTGACTGTGAGTACAGGGCTGCCTAGGTTTTCAGGGCAGTTAGAGAGCAGCTAATACAGGGTTTACCTCCTCCTTTCCTTTCCCCCACGTCTTTCCACCCCCATCCTTCCAGGCACCAGCAGCTCCACTTTTCTCTACCTCAACACTGTTGACATTTTGAATCTGATGATTCTTTTGCTGAGGCCTACAGCATGCATCTTGGGATGATAGACAGGACTTCTGGCTTCTACCCAGGATGCCTCAGGAGAGCACCTTTGCAGAATGATAACCCCCAGTGTCTCCAATGTCAGATGCCCTCTGGTGGGCAAGATTGCCCCCAGCTGAGGACCACTGCCATTCTTTCCACACTAAGCCCTTGTCCCAGAAAAAGACACAGTCTCTAAAGTCAAAGAAAATGGAGTCCGACCTTGTTCTGATTTTAGCCAAACCATTTCTCTCTCCATCTATAAAAGAGGGATGGCAAATTTAGAGACCCTACAAAAGGACACTTGGAGGCCTAAAACACCAGGGTCTGCAGATGGGCCCTGTGTGTTCTATGGAACGGAGGAAGAAAAGAGCTTTTTGGTGCCTACCGTGTGCCAGATTTCCTTCCATTTCCTTTGAGCTTTCAGGCTCCAGAGAGGCTGACGTGAGCCTTTTTCTGGTCCTTGCCCAAGGAGCTGGAATCCAGGGCCGCTCCGGGTGAAAACAGTGTCTTCTTGCATTCAAGAGGAGCCAGGGCCTTTGACCGGCTGGAAAGTTACAGAATCCCTAAATCAGGCCAGAAGCTCCCTCTGCCACCACAGAATGAGAACCAGAAAGGGACTTTTAAAGGCCTCCAATGCAAGCCTAAGCCCCCTTCCTCTGAGAGTCCTGCTGAGTACAAGCATAGCCTTGCTACACACCTTAGTGACAGGGAGGCCACACATTCGCCAAAACGCCAAGGAGTGATCTGGAGTTCCAGCCCTTGAACCGAAGCACAAGGGTTTCTCCAGTCTCCTCTCCTTCTCTCCCATTGGAGTAACAGAGGACAGGGTGGCCTTGATTGGCCTAGGGTGTGTGGGGGTCCTTGCTAACATGAGGAGAGCCCACAGAACAGGGCTGCAGAAGTTTGGGAAAACCACAGTCAAACTAAACTTGGAATCTTTGGGTATGTCAAAGAGACCCCAGGCCAGTCAAGAACATGATGGATTTCTTTCTGACAGCTTCAGGTTCCCAACCTGTGACCTATAACCTCTCCCTCTGGGGCAGGCACCCATCCCACAGGATGGCCCTATATCTGTGGCACCCCTGGTTTTATGATCTCCCCCTACCTCACCATCTTGGCTCTGCCTCTCTGCTCCATGGCCTGGGCCTGGGGTGGGGCTGCCTCCCACCTGATATGGAAACCAGATTCTGTCATCTGCTCAGCCTTTAATCTAAAAGCCCCCAGGCAGGTCCTATGACCCCTTCTTCACCTCTGCCCCTTCTCAAGCCTTGTCTGAACCTGGCTGCTATTTTCCTGTGCAGAGTGAGGACATCCATCAGGGGAGATGGTGGTAATGCTGTAGGGTATGGGGCAGAGGGTGTTGGCTGAGGTCTTGCCAACAGCATAGCATGGTTCTCAAACCTCTTAGACACAGAGTTACTCTATCAGGTATTGGTTATCTGAGGCCTGTCTCAGGGAAATGGAGGCCTCCCTCTGCTTATCTTCCTCCAAGATTTGGGAATGTGGGTGGGGAGCTGGGTACAGGAAGTAAGCAAGCATCCTTACATACATATGCATTCACAAACACACAGGTGAGTAGGCAGAAAGGCGGACCTTCCAGGTGCTCCAAGACCATGTAGCTAGGATGTCAGTCTTGGAGAACAGAACTCAGACGGGGCAAACCACAGGAGAACAGGCTACTACACACGGATTCTCACTGCGGGGCCTGGCACCTCATGTGTCCGGGACATCAGAGCCTCAGCAGCCCATCATATCCCACAGCCCCACAGCTATCACACGTGGAGGGCTGTGTGATAGAGACCTTAGTTTGTGGCGTTCTATTTGTACAGCTGTGCCAAGTCCTAAAGCTGTGACTTGACCAGTGTGGGATAAGATAGCTCCAGCAGAGTGGGGAGGAGGGGAGTGTAAAGGTGGTGGGGGGCAGGGAAGTGTAAGGTTGACACATGTATACACAGTGTGTACACACATGGGTGCCTGTGAACCCAGTTCCAACGGTACATACACAAAGCCAACCCCTGTGTGTGGTGAAGCCCAGAGCCTCGCTCTGTGCGCCTGGCTGGGTGGGCTCCTCCTCCCAGTGTTGTCTGTGTCCACAGGGGTTGCTATCTCCCCTCTCCCCCCACCTACCTGGGCTGGTCCTGGATCCTCGTCCTCCTGTCTCTGACTTCCTTCCGGTTTCTCTCACTGCTTTCACTGTGACATCTGTCTCCTGTGTACCCCTTATCTGTCTGGGGATGGGGTTGGGATGTGGGGACGGGGAGGGGATATGTCCCCATTGATCTAGCTTCTCATAGGCATCAGGGCCCCCACGGTACACCCAAGGAAATAACTGATGGAAACCAAGACCAAATAGCAACCCCCTAGATCAGCTAGGTCAGCTTTGTCCTCACCTACCTACTTCCGGCCAGCTCACTTGACTCTTTCTCTGCCGTGCCCTGCCCTGGCAGCAGCCGGATGGGCATCAAAGACAGAATTCGAATGAGCAGCTCCCAGAAGCGGACAGGTCCCTCCAAGCAGCATCTGGCACCTGCACCGATTCCCACCTCACCAAGCAGTGAGCAGGTGGGTGAGGCGTCCAGTCCCAGCAAGGTGCAGAAAAGCTGGAGCTTCAATGACCGCACCCGCTTCCGAGCCTCTCTAAGACTCAAGCCCCGCTGTTCAGCTGAGGGTAAGCCCCAGAGGTCACGGGCTGTGCATCTGCTGGAGGCAGCATGGGTGGGGACTGGCTCGGAACGTCTGCTCTAGAAAACGGGCATCACAATTTCTTCTTTGCTATAACCCAGAGAATTTAGAAGGGCCACTGGTTGGAGGTAAGAGCATAGGATTTGGAACCAGGCTTCCAAGATTTGGTCACTGGCTCTGTCTTTTCTTTTTAATGTTTTAAAATTATATTTTAATTTTTAAAAAAGATTTTACTTATGTTATACATATATGCCTGCATGCCAGAAGAGGGCATTTGATCCCATTACAGAGGGTTGTGACCCACCGTGTGGTTGCTGGGAATTGAACTCAGGACCTTGGAAGAGCAGACAGTGCTCTTAACCACTGAGCTGTGTCTCCAGCCCCCTATTTTACTTATTTATTGTGTGTATGTGTCTGTGTCTGTGTCTGTGCTGGTGGAAGTCAGAGGACAAACCGTGAGAGATGGCTCCCTTCCCCTGCCACACAGGTCTGAGGATCAAACTCTATTCTTCAGCCTTCACACCACACGAGGCCTCTGTCACTTTTTTTAGATAAGGACCACATCTCTCTGGGTCCCACTTTCCCCATATGTAAAATGGAAGCAACAGTAGTATCTATTTCAGATACAGATTCTGAAGAATTCTTAGTGGGATGAGCCACAGCATAGTAAGTTCTCAGCAGAGGGCCCTCTGGAAGTAGTCCTATGTGAAGCTGTCCCCTGGGCAGTCTCCATTGCTTCTCCTAGCTACCCCCCCTTTTTTTTTTGCCTCCAATTTGTAGACATGGAAGTTGAGACTCTCAGCATGTGAGTGGGAGCACTCTTATCCTGAAGCAAGGCCGGCCAGCTTTGAAGCTGATGTTCTCTACTGTCACCTCGTACCCAGCCCAGCCTGCTGTCACTGTGACTGAGGGTCTGGCAGGAGCCATTTCTCCATTGTTAGAGGAAGAGGGTCCCTTTGAATTCTAGGTCTTGGACTAGGACTAGGACTTGGGCAAGAGGCTGCCCTGTTCTGTGCCTCTTCTGGAAAATGGGAGGGTTGTATGGGGTCTCCTAACAGCCCCCTTACCTCTGTGGAACATGCTGCAGGCTCTTGGTAGAGAAGAAAGGGTCAATAGATCCAGTGGAGATGAGGACAGGATGCTCCCTTTGTTCCTGGAGAGAGAGAGAGGCCAGCTCAGAGCCTCTGCCTGCACTGTGCCAAGATGCTGAGGCCTGAGAACTCAGCCTTTTCCTGGAAAGTTACTGAACATCACAGACCAGTGGTTCTTTGGGAGGTCCTGACTCACGGAAGCCTAGGCATGGTGGTGCCTGAGATCGCCTTCCTCCGGTGTGGTGAGGAAAAGTATCACCCTCTTTAAGCACAGGGTACCTGCCTCAGAGGAGCTTTTCTCCATACTGGCTTTAAAAGCCTTCCTTGTAGCAGATCTGGCATTAGCTGGAGTACCTCCCAAACCCTATTGCTCCTAACCAGAAGAGACCACACATGGACTCCATGAAGAGCATCAAATAAATGCCTTTTCCCTGGGGCTTCCTGCCCTGTAAGGGGTAACACTTGGCATGTCCTCAAAGGCTGCATGCACCATCTTTGTCCCAGGCTAGACCATATGTCCTCTAAAGTAGCTGCTACCCACCTGTCACCAGGCAGGCCCTGCCCAGCCATGGAAGAGGCAAAAGGACATTCATGTAACGTAAGACAGTAAGAGGCAGCAGCCAGTGAGGCAGGATTCCCGTCTGCCTTGAGCCTCAGGAAGGTTCTGGGCTCTTTCTGGATCTGTCTTCCCATGAGTCCTGCTAATGGAGGTGGGGGCTGAGAGTGTTTTCTTCTACCAGTCTTCGCCCTCACGTGCCATTCCTGTCTTTACAGAGGGCCCCTCGGAGGAAGTATCTGAGGAGAAGAGCTACCAGTGTGAGCTCACGGTGGATGATGTCATGCCTGCTGTGAAGACGGTCATCCGTTCTGTCAGGTGAGGCTGAGACCCAAGGTAAGCAGCCCACCATCCCACCTGCCACCCGTCACTGCTCCCCATCTGGGCCTGTCCTCATGGCCAGCCCTGGCACAGGTCCCAGGGTGTCAGCTGCTACCTGCCTGGAGTGCAGGAGCTGTGGACAGGGAGCAGATGGCTTCCGGCACTGTTCACTCCTGCACAGCATACATCATGTCCAGAGGGCCTGGCTCCGGTGGCCAGTGGCACAGCTGCCCAGCAGGGTCTCTGTCCTTACACACACTGGGTCCTCCCCTTTCCAGTTCAGGCTCTCTGCTTCCCTTCCCCTTCCCTTCTCCCACCTTGTGGTGGCCTCTTTCCTTCCCTCTCCTTAGCTGCACCAGAGGCAGTAGCTTCTGCTGTAGTCTCTGCCTACTCTACATGTGTTTTTCTTCTGTATCTATGTCTCGGTCCCAAGCTCCTTTCGTCTCTACATCACAGAGTCTTTCTCCCTGGGTGTCTTGGCCTCTCACTCTTTCTCCTAGGACATCCTCAAGAGCAGTACTCTTCAAACCGTAGGTCAAGAACTCAGTGAGACTAAGTCAGGGTTTCATGGTCAGCATTAAAAAAAAAAAAAAAAAAAAAGTGAAGTTGGGCACAGTGGCACTTCTGTGGTCCTAACACTTGGGAGGTAGAAACAGGAGGATTGGGAATTCAAGGTCAACCTTGACTGCACAGACAGTTTGAGGCTCTCCTGAGCTACTGACCTCCTGCTTCAAAAAACAAAAACAAACAAGAATGTATGCGACTACATGTCTCATACTGAGGTCGACTATGTTTATGAAATGTGTGTTTAATGTGTGTGAACGGGTACTGGCTTGCAGGATAAGATGTATTTCTATGTCTTGGTCAAACCGTTTGAAAGCCGTGATACATCGTCCGCTGCTGTGATAATTAAGTAGGTGCTGGTCTCCTATAGCCTTGTAGCCCTGCCCAGTGTGGATCTGGCCCCAGCTTCCTGGCGAGGAGTCCTGGCTGGGTCTCCACTTCCAGCCTGCAGCTGGGCTGCCGAGGCCACTGAAGCTCAGCTCCCTTGACTCCGTTCCCTGGCTCCTGCACCTGCCCACAGCCTTTTTCCTGTGTTCCTTTTGAGATCAGCCAGGTGGGCTCCTCCTCCCTGAGTCAGGCCTCTCCTTGCCACTTTCTCTCCCTTTCCGTGACCACTATCTTGGACACAGTATCTGAGCTGTGAAGGCCAGGATAGCTGTCCTCAGCACCCTCACAACCCCCTCAAACCCAGAATGCCCCCAGACTGCTCCTCTGCCCACCTCCCCAAGTCAGGCACTGTCTCCAGACATAGGAGTCAACTTGGATTTGGACTCGAGTCTCTTGTCTAACCTCTGAGTTGCTCGAATTGGTCTCCTCCCTCTACCCAACTGTCCTCTCCCAACTCAGGCCTGTCCTGGGAACTGGTCTCTGTGCCCAGAGCGTAGAACACCCCAGCACATTCTAGAAGTTGGCAAAGCAAGCATGTTGAAGCAGAGCAGATGGTCCCCCCTCCATCCCAGTGCCTTCTCTACACAGCCCCCACCCCAGCTCTTCCTCATGGCTAGTCCTGGCTGCTCACACTACCCACCACTCCAGGGGCTGTCCCCTTTCTCTCATGCTCCTTCTCCCACCCCTCAGAGCTCTGTCTCTTCGCACTTCTATGCCTGTTTCTGGGAAGCTCCTTTCTTCAGAGCAAGAAAAGCTCTCTTGCCCCTGGCTGAAAATTATCATCTGAGGCTCTACCTACTGTGGCCCTTCTCATGGCTGCCAGCTCTTCTTTCTTATTCATTGAACCTGGCTCTTGTCACCCCATACTTGCCTGTGTCCTCCCAGCTCCCCACCCTAGAGCCAGGTCGGGTTTGTTGTTGTTGTTTTTTGGTTTAGTTGTTTTCTTTGATTTTGAGGTTTTGTTTTTTTTGGGGGGGAGGGTACGTAATGCTTATAAGAGATTCTGTCTACACCTGGCCTCCCTGTAGCCAGAGGTTGGATATAACTCCCTTTGGATGTCCAAGAACCTGCACATAATTGCCAAGTATGCATAGAGTGAATGAGACATTCCTTTCCCTAACCCAGCAGCAGCAGTTGGTGTTCTAGAAGCTCTGTGTCCCACTGAACTGAGGAGACATGGCCATTTCCTGCCTCCTAGGTTAATGCTGCCATAGAGGCATATGAGAAAACAGCAAACCAGCCTCTGGATGTGGAGGGCAAAGGGGAGCATGGTGGTTAGTTACAGAGCTAGGGGCCCCGGCAGAGGTTGTTGGAGAGAGTGGTCCAAGCAGATGACCTGGACCTGGACAAAGATGCAGAAGAGGGGACTGGAAGAGTCCCCTGTGGGAACAGGAGCATCTGTCAGAGATCCCCGTCCCCTAACAGGATTCTGAAGTTCCTGGTAGCCAAAAGGAAATTCAAGGAGACCCTGCGGCCATACGATGTGAAGGATGTCATCGAGCAGTATTCAGCAGGACACCTGGACATGCTGGGGCGAATCAAGAGCCTGCAAGCTCGGTGGGTATTCAGGCTTTGAGGAGGGAGGGGTGGGCAGTTGAAGGTCCTGGCCCAGGTGAGGGAGCTAAGGCCATCTGTGCTTTGTTGGGGGTATTACCTGGTGGTACATCTGTAATCTCAGCACTGGGGAGACAGAGGACAGAAGACCATGATGAGTTTTAGGCTAGTCTGGGCTATGAGACTCTGCTTCAAAAGAACAAAGAAATCAGAAATCAAACCCAAACCAGACGACCCCTGTCTTGCAGTGTACAGGCTGTTTGGAAGCCGAAAACCAAAACAACAGCCTCGGTTATAGTTGTCCAGCCAAGTCCAGTCCACATTCATGACTTGAGGGCATTCCTTAGGGTGCCTGTCTCCAGGTCCTAAAGTAATTGGACCACAGTAATCACTGACTTCCCGTTTCCCAAGAAGCAGTATGAAGTGAAGCAAGTTACCTTTTGCTTCTCTAGAGTCCTGCATGTCCACTAGGTCCAGGGTTGAGGAAGAACCTTTACATCAAGTCCCAAACTGCCTAGAGCTTTCCTTTCTCCCATACCCTCTCATTGTCTGTTCATTCATTAACTTAAAAAGTAACAATTAAGGTGGGGCATGGTTGGTGTACAGCACTGGAGACACTGAAGCAGGAGGATCTCTAAGTTTGAGGTTAGCCTGGTGTTCACAGGGAGTTCCAAGTCAGCCAGGGTGATATAAGGAGGCCCAGTGTCAACAACAACCACAGTATTGGGCTAGGGGTGCGATTAGAGGCAGGAGGAATTCAACTTGGCTGTTTAAAGAGCTGGGTTACAAGAGCTCCTGTCTAAAAGGGGGGGAAAAAAAAAGAACAAGTATTGTGGGAAGGAGTGATCTGATGTGACCTCTGCTGTGCTCAGGTCAAGTAAGGAAAGACTGAGTTGATCACTGGATTTAGCAACATGGAGTTCGGTTGGGGGAGGAGAAGTCCGACTAGAGTGGCTTTATAGGGAAAGGAAGCAGGGTTGCAGGCAGAGGACTGCAGGTAGAGAGCAGAATAAGGTGGGCTCATCTTTGTCCACTTTCTAACATTCCCTACCCCAGCCCGTTTTTCCACCTCGGAGGCTCTGCTTGTTATTTGGAGAACTTTCGAAGCAGGGGCGGGTGTCTTCCAGGCTCACCTCCCTTGGGCAGGGAAGCGGCTTCTTCCAATTAGTGCAGTCTGTCTTCCTGGTCAGCAGTCAACCTAGGGTTCTAGTGGAAGAGAGGTGCAGTGTAACTCAGTCTCTTTGATGGTTTCTTCTCCCCACCCCCAGGGTGGACCAAATTGTGGGTCGAGGGCCCGGGGACCGCAAGACTCGGGAGAAGGGCGATAAGGGTCCTTCAGACACGGAGCCAGTGGATGAAATCAGCATGATGGGGCGCGTCGTCAAGGTGGAAAAGCAGGTGGGTGTAGGAAGGACTTCTACCCGCTGGTTGAAATAGCTGGCAAGGGTTCAGCACTGCTGTAGTGCAGAGCCTTGGCCTAGTAGGGCTCACGTGCTGAGTTCTGCTCCGCCAAGCTCCACCCTACAAACAAGCCGGGCTCCAAGAAAGCCCACTCACAGTCAATCATTCCGGAAGGATCTCAGGGGAAAGTCCTCCTAACCACGCCTCCTACCTAATGGCCCTACGGTTTCCAAGCCCCGCCCCCGAGGCCCCGCCCCGTCCAGGCCAACTTCCTTCCTTAGGGGCTACCTGCTCTTGGGTCCAACATCACCTCCCAGCTTCGTCCTGCTCCGCCCACTAGGTGCAATCCATCGAGCACAAGCTGGATCTGCTGCTGGGCTTCTACTCGCGCTGCCTACGCTCTGGCACCTCGGCCAGCCTGGGCACCGTGCAAGTGCCGCTCTTCGACCCGGACATCACCTCGGACTACCACAGTCCTGTGGATCACGAGGACATCTCTGTCTCGGCACAGACGCTCAGCATCTCTCGCTCAGTCAGCACCAACATGGACTGAAGGACTTCTCAGGGGCGGGGCAGCCTTCGGTTTGCCCTTCGGACTCACCCCGGGGCCTCTGGACTCCTCTCTTACTTGAACTCGCTCCCTGGCAGGGAGAGAGGCCATACACAGTATTGAGCTGTCTGGGTGGGCGAGATACCCAATGCCAGGTACCAGCGCCCCAGGAGCATGAAATGCCAGGCCATGTGGTGGGCCACAGCAATGGCTGACCGGAGGCCTCTGGGCGCTCCCGGACCCTGCCCGCTCCACCAAGGCTCAATGTGGCCCGCCTGGCAGGGGCACTGCCCTGGGAATGGGAGCAGAGCGCTGGGGCCCTGGTCCCTGACCCAGCTTCTAGCTATGCAAGGTGAGGTCTCCAGGCCCGCCCTTCCAGGCAGAGCAGGGAAGCCCTCCTGCCAAGCCCCGCCCCATCCGGGGATGGGCCCAAGGTGCCCCCACAGGTGCCCACAAAGCACAGGACTCTGCCATAAGGCAGATGGGCATCATATATGCAAACTATGTTAAATATGCAACTTTAGGGACCCCTATGGGGTTCCTCTGCCCCTCCCTCACTGGGAGATGGGCCCCAGCAGTAGCTGGTCTCAGGCTGCTTGGCCATACTCCACCTCTATTCTTTGGCTTATCATCCATCCTCACCCAGCATGGGGCCTAAACCTCTCTGTCCTCTCCCAAGGGCAGTACTGGGCCTTTCTGCCCCCTTTATAGGTGTCACCCCAGGGGCTCCCTCTTGCTGCTGGATGTCCATTCCCATTGGCCCTCCAAACAGTTTTGACAGCACAAATTCCTGTATTTTCCTCAAATTTACTAGAGAGTGGCCTACCACCAGGAACCACAAGCATGGCCCTTCTATTTCTCCAGCAGAATGCCGCACACACCGATGCACACGGCACCACACACACTTGAAGGTGTGAGCACAAAGCCACTTGTTCTCTCCTGGGCAGGAGAGGGTTTAGAGCATCCACGCGTCTCCCCAGGCCCCGCCTCAGAGTTTGACTTGCTCCCCTCCTCAGACAGGTCCAGGAGTCCTCTAGTTGCCCTAAGGACTACCTTGGTGTCCCTACAGTGTAACTCAGGCCTAGGCCTCGGGGCCTTGCACACTGGAGAGAATTCAGGCACTTCCTCTTCCTAGTCTCAGCGAGGACACTTGCATCCAGTGCTATAGCGACTGGACCTGGCTCTCACCAGCACCGGCCTCTGCCCCACTTTCTCACTTCAATTGGCAGCGCTGTGTGTCGGCACAAATGCCCAAACACTGCAGACCCCACCACCAGTTTTAGATCTCTACCCCTTTGTTCCTCTCCTGCTAAGCTAATGCAGGTGGCAAGAGAGTCAGGGGTGGGGTTCCAATGATAACACTCTGGGGGGGAGGGGGTGCTTGGGAACAAGGGGCTGAGGCCGAACTGTCTGCAATTCATACTGGGACCTGCATGTACCAGTGCCAGGGCTTGGGTTGAATCCTGCTCAGCCCTATGGTGCCCAATCTCTGCCCTACCATCTGCATGTACCATCAAGCCCTGGATGGAGCCCATCCTGGCTCACTTCACTTGCGTTGTATTGCCCCCTGGGGAGCCACTCCACTCCCTCAGAGATGGAGCTGTACAGAGGGTCTGGAGAATAAGATTATCCTGTGACCAAAGGAGACATGGGAAGAAGCTCTCCCTCCTTCCACGATCGAGGTTCCCCCACCAACCCGGTTCTCAGATATGCAAGTACCTCACTTTGTTAACTTATTAACTTATTGGTTTCATTAAAGTTTTCAGTAGGAAGTGATTGGTCTTGGTTGTGCTTGGTGACTGAGGGCTGAGGCTCCTGGTTTGATGGAGAAAATGGGATTTGGATTTACTGTAAACCATAAAAGCCCAGCTCCATATGACTCAAGGAAAAAGAAGAGACACGTCCCAGTGTCTAGGGGATAGATTCGGTTTCACGTACAGGCAAATCTAGTTGCTCAAATGTCTGCTAACATGTTTGTTTTTGAGCCAGTCTCAGTCCATAGTCTATAGCTGGCCTTGAATTTGGGGCGGTTCTGATATCAGGTTTATGGCCGATAGGTTTTCCTTTTTGATTTTCAACAGTTGACATAATTCATTTTGTTCATTTACACACAGAAACACTGGTAATGAGAAAAAACGAATGTGACTATACATCTAGCACCATGATACAGCCGGCACACCCAGCCTTGTATTTTTTAGACAGGGTATTGCTGTGTAGCCCAGGCCAGCCTCAAACATACATGGAGTCACCACCACTCCCAGCAAGGCCTTTCGTTCTGTTGGCTCTGGAAGCAGAGAAGAGCTTGGAAGCTTTTCACTTCTAGTGTCAGCCCCAACTCCTAAGGAGGTTTGAGCTGGACACCTAGGGATACTTAGTCATGTGATTCCCCTGGGGCAGGGACAGAACAGGAATTAAAAGGCATTAACATTTCAAAACATTGTCAACATGTCAGTGATTCTCCAAAAAGGCTCAGTGATAGGAAAATCATTTGTCTTTGCCCTTCTTCATATAAGCAAAGGTGTCTTTTAATGTGAGCCACCTGGGAAGTGCCACCCTGACATTTATGGATCCTGCCAAATGATCCTTACCACCCAGAGGGCTCCCTCTGGGTCCATACCTGCTAATCTCTAATTGTAACCCATCCGTGTAACCCAGATGACTAGAGAGATGGAATGTTTCCTCTAAATTCACCCCAGACCCAGAGTGGGTATTGCAACAAAGAGGATTTACACTGAGGAGTGGGCCACAGTGCTGCGGGAAACACAAAAGAACAGAAAATCCAGGGTAACCTAGAGAAAGTCGCTGAGCATAGCAGTCCTTCCTGGAACTGCAGGAAGCCACAGGGACCATCAAAACTCATAAGCGTGGTGCTGGGGATGTGGCCCCGTGGTAGAGCTCTTGCTTGGCATGTGCAAAGTCCTAGTTCAGTCCCTAGCAGAAACAGAAGGGGGGGGGAGAGAGAGAGAGGAGAGAGAGGGAAGAGGGAAGTCTGGTGGCGATCCATGAGGCCTGCCTAGGTGTCCACACCAGATGTTGCCACCCACACAGCCTTGCTGATCTAGATGGGAAGAAAAGTATGAAAGTCTCTACAGCTGATCTTTCCCTAGTGTCCCTTTTTGTTAAAGTCATAGTATCACAGACATTCTTGGAATCTACTGATGACCACAGACCCCCTGAACAGTCAATAGCCATATACATCAACCCACACATATGGGACATCCATGTAATGACAGTGTCTCCCACCAAATAAGACAGAGATATGCTTCATATAAACAAAGTCCTTCTCACTCTCTTCCTTCAAAAGGGGAGAACACAAAGTCCCACAACCTCTAAAAATATTTTATTTGAATTACTTTTAATTATGTGTATAACCCTATCTCTGTGTGCGTATGTGCATATGAGTGCCCCTCAGAGGGTAGAGACTTCAGCTCCCACCTCCGACCCCCAGAGCTGGTGCTACAGGCAGTTGTGACCCAACAGACATGGGTGCTAGGAACTGATCTCTTACCCTTTGGAAGAGCAGCGTACATTCTCTTACAAACAGTCGAGCCATCATCGCGCCGTCTCCCAGGTTTCCGTCTAACAAAAACATCCATAACCAGGAACTAGCCAGCCAACCCTTATTGGGATATGTTAGCTATTCTTCTGACTCAGTGGCCATCCTACATACAACCAAACATTAACCTCTGGGCGGGGGGGAAGGCTGCAAAAGGACCACTCTTGTTCCAAAGGGAAAAAGGACTATTCTGAGCCAAGTATGAGTGACCGTCACTCAGGGATACGGATTCAGGTTGCCCTGAATGACATCTTTACTGTGGAAGCGGTTACATGAGCTTTTATAGTCATAGACCAAAAGACAGTCATAAATCAATGCGTTTACCGAATCTGTTGCTGGGGACAGTGTAGGTGGACGGGATACAGCAAAGCAGGGACATCTTGCAGAAGTTTCAGATTTGATCTAATGACATTCTTAGCTTTTGTGTTGGTTAGAAACTAGATCTTAGAAGTGATATTTTCCAAGAATTTTACCAAATACAAGTTTCTTTTTCTTTCTCTTCCTCTTTTCTCTCTCAATCACTCTCCCCTCCTTCTCCCTGCTTCCTTTCCTCTCCCTCTCCCTCCCTCCCCATTCTCTCTCTGTCCTTCCCCCTCTTTCTCCTTTCTTCCTTCCCCCTCCCCTTCCCACTCCTGTCCCCAGGGTTTCAAGTATCCCAGCTTGGTCTCAAACTCATAGGTGAGAGTTTTTCAACCTTCCTAGTGCTGTGACCTTTTACTACAGTTCCTCATGTTGTGGTGACCCCAACCATAAATTTATTTTATTGTTACTTCCTAACTGTAATTTTGCTACTGTTATGAATCATTATGTAAATATCTGATATGTGGCTCCCAAACAGGTCACGCATGACCCACGGGTTGAGAACCACTAGCTAAGACTGACATAGACCTTTCTGATCCTCCAAGGATGCTCCACTATCCTCGGTTTATAAGGTACTAGTAATCAAACTTAACATTTCATGTATGCTTGATAAGCATTCTGCCAATGGAATTTCATCCCCAGCCCAGAGGGCAGCAACTGTATTAAGCTTTTTTTTTTTTCATCCTTTTAACAGCACCTGACAAAGCAACTTAAAAGAAGGATTTTATCTTGGCTTATGGTGTCACACATGTAGTCTATCCTGGTAGGGGAGGTTTGGTCGGGGGCACGTGGCTGAGGGAGGTCTTAGAACTTACACAGTTTATACCTCTCAAGCTCTGATTCTGTGGCCATGTGTATCTGTCAGCTAGGCTCCAAGTCCAGAAAGTTTCACAACCTCTGGAGACAGCGCCACCCTCTGGACCAAGTACTTGAGCATAAAAGCTTGTACAGGGCATTTACATTCAAACCCTAACAGTAATAAATGGTGATTAAGGAGACTAAAGATAGCACAGTGTAATTGTGGCTCGTAATCTGCGGCATTCCAATCTGTCCAATCAGCTTCCTAGTCAATCACTGCAGAATCTTCAACACAGATGTGGCTTTTAAAGGAAACTTTAGTTCATAAAATAGGGAGGGAAGCAGGGAAAACATTAATGCCATTGAAATACCAAAACCAAAAAGAAAAAAAATAATGCCACAACAACCCAAGCAAAGAAGAAAACAGACTCTTATCTTTCATAAATACATGTTTCTTTATGTAAAATATACCATAGCTGGTGTATGATATTTCTCCTTACCCACCCCCACTTTATAAAAAACTTTTCATTGGTCCTTTGTGAACTTCACATCATGCACCCGAATCCCACACATACCCCCCATACCCACCCTCCACCCTTGCAACCTCCCTGCAACAGACAGAAAAATCTCCCCATGGGAGCTGTAGTATATCAGTGTGTCCCACAGGATACCCTTTGTCCACACTTCCTTGCTTGCAAATGTTCATTGCAATGATTCTTTGGTCTGGTACGAGGCCTCTGGCTTCTGCTACTCTATCAACACTGGAACCTCACTGGGACTCCTTTTGGATATCCTGTTGTTGCCCTTCGTCATGGAGATCCTATGGTTTTGGTTCTGTAGGACCGGCCCCTTTATGCACTCTAGCAGTTCACGGATGGGGTAGATGTTGGGGTGGAACAATTCAAAGCCCTGGATCTGGGCCTGAGAGATATCTGAGCTGGTGGTCAGCCTACCACCTCTCCCACTCATACACCCTTGGGGCAGGCTCACTGGCACCCCTACCCCCAATACACACACACACACACACACACACACACACACACAGGGCCAGCTCTTCCCTGCTGTACAGTCAAGGTGCATGGCCTGCTCTCCTGAGAGTTGCAGCCGATGAGGGACATGGCCAGTTCTCTCACTCTCATGACCCCAGGGCCAGATCCTCCCCAACCCCTGTCCTCTGCCAACCCCTAGGTTGGTTAAAGTTTGATGATTTTTTTTGGTTTGTTCTTGTTTTTAGTTTTATTTCCTGTAGATGGCTATTTGGCCCCTGTGAGCACATGTGCACCATATACATTTACATTCCTGGGGCCCGCAGAGGCCAGCAGAGGGTGTCAGATCCTCTGGAGCTGGGGTTACAGATGCTTGTGAGCCACCACATGGGTGCTGGGAGCCAGGTCCTGCAAGAGCAGTCAGTAATCTTAACCTCTGAGCCATCTCTCCAGCCCCTGGTTAGGGCTCTCTACATGGTGAAGTGACTTGAATGATCTCTGAGACTGAATCATTAGTGCTCCTGCATGGTTTGGGGGTGGGGGTATAGCTTTTCGTTAACTTTTATTGTTGTCCATGGAAGTAAAGTAACCATGGAGGGTTGGCTGCAGGGTCCACTAGAGAGTCTAAAACTGTGGAAACTCCATTTTCTTTGTAAGAGAATGTAGCCTAGCTGATGCTCACCCTCCTGTATGCTTTAAATCACCTCTACCTCATAATCCCCAGTGTAGATGCTGTATGAAATAGTTGTTATACCATATTGTTTAGGAGAAATCATGAGATAAAAGCCAGCACCTGGCCAGCATAAAAGCAATGTTCAGCTACCTGTCATTTATCTATTCTCTTCTGTCTGTCAATCCATCCATCCATCCATCCATCCATCCATCCATCCATTTATCTACCAACTAGATCTGATCCCTGTCTAGTCTATATATCTATAGACTTCTAATCTATATACCTATCATCTGTTTATTAGTCAATCATCTATTTATCATCTATCCATCCTTCTATCTACCTACCTACATGTCATCTGTCTCCACAGTTGGTTGGAACTACGGATGAAGAACCCACAGTTATG